ACTCCTTGTCGACCCCATGGACCCACATGGATGCGTACGCCTTTCCTCCCTTCCCGCTAATTCACCGGGTACTGGAGAAACTGAAGCCCACCTGCATATTGACTCTGGTGGTGCCCAATTGGCCAACCAAAGCCTGGTTTCCACTTCTGTTGGAAATGCTAGTCGAAACACAAGTAGTGCTTCCTGACCTACCTGACTTGCTGTCCCAACCAGACGGCGCACTACCAATGAGCCCAGCGGTGTATCACTTACACACATGGAGGCTCTCAGAAAGGTTTATCTGAGCGGGCTGCCAACGTCCTGGCCAGGGCGTACAGGCATTCCGCCAATGCTGCCTACAACTCGCAGTGGCGAGCATACACTAATTGGTGTAGTGGAAGGAAGATTGATCCATGCCATCCCTCTATTGGCCAGGTAGCAGAAGTAGGTTTGTCCTACACAGCGATCGTTGGCCTTGTCCCCTGCCATTGAGAATGCTTTGGGGTCAAGTCTAGCCAATTGTCCTATCATTAGGAGACTGTTTACTGCTTTCTATAATCAGTGGCCGAGAACCCAAAAAAGGGAACTGCCTAATTGGGATTTGTCGGTTGTGTTGTCCGCTCTATGCAGAACACCCTTTGAGCCTCTCCAATCAGCACCACTCAAGTTTTTGACGTGGAAAACAGTCTTTCTAATGGCCCTTGCCTTAGGTAGGCGTCGGTCAGAACTAGGCACACTGTCTTTCTCGGACGGGTATGCCGCCTTTATGGACAATCAAGACACGAATCGGGTTTCTCACAAGAACCAAATCCCAGGACACGATCCCCAGCAGATCGTCATCCCCCAGCTGTCAAGTATTGTCGGCCCGGAGGATCAGGAGGAATTGCTTCTCTGCCCTGTTCGAGCAATGAGTTGCTACGAAAACCGTACTAGGATTTTGAGATGGGGAGCCAAGCATATGTTTTTTTGTTACGACCCTGACAGGCAGAATAGGCTGGCCTCTCCAACTTCCATTGCCAGGTGGATTACTGCGACTGTATTAGAGGTCTATAATACTTTATCTTTCTCGACACAGAACTTGCAGAGACCCAAGTACGAGCGCATGAGGTCTGTGCGATTGCTAACTCACTAGCGCTAGCGTCAGGCGCCCCCCTCAAGCATATACTGAGGGCAGGCTTCTGGAGAACGCAGACATCTTTATCTTTATGAAAATTATCTGCTGACAGTAAATAACCCACTACACAGATCATCAATGACCAAACTAAGATTAAGCGCACATGTTTTAAAAATTGAAATGGGCTGATACCATAAAATTGACATTACCGAAAGAAGCTGTTCTGTATGCAATACAAATGATATTGAAGATGAAGAGCACTTTCTGTTAAAATGTCAGTTATACAAACATGAAAGACAAATCCTTCTCAACACAATTAGACAATTATACAAGCTTTATTAACATACTAGGCACAAAGAATACTGTCATGCTAAAATGTCTAGCAAAATATATATTTTGTATGTTTCAACATAAGAGAAAGCAAATTAAAATTAAACAGCTGCCTCACTGATATCTAAATAAGTAATCCTAACATTTACTTTATTAATTTGCATTTCTAACCCATTTTCGGGCAAGTTTGTTGTATTAGTTGTGTATAGTTTAGTTTTTTATACTAGTGTATCTCCTTTTTTTTTTTTATTCTGAATGTTTGTGACATGGAATGACAACCATGCTTTAGTGTACTTAGATCTATGTCCATTTTTAGGATACGACTTCAATAAAGACTATTACATTAATATCAACTACTACCTAAGAGACACCCAATCTATTGAAGAGGGCCTCTGTAGGTTGGGTCCCGTTGTAGCTGGTCAGACTCTGGCTGCTGACCCAGCCCGAACGACCACAAGGGTCCCTGCGAATAGGCTATAAGCCAGTCTCAGCATTTTTGCAGACAGATTTCTCTATTATCAGCGCTCTTTGGAAGATTTGTCTTGCTTTTCGACCTATGTCCTCATGCAGAACTGTTTCGATCTTTACTTCAAAAGCATACTACCCCCTGAATTGGGTTTGGGTTTTTGTTTTGGGTCTTAACTAGGTGATGAGTGATTAATGTAGAGTGTATCATCCCGAACTGAGAAAAAAGACGTTCATCATTTTTTGATTGCTCGGAAACCCGCCACCTATCGGCGTCTGACTGACCGGAGTCTATGGTGGGTAATTGAATGTAGTGAATTTAGGCAGAGGGTTCTCCCAACCCATCTATTCACATAGCCACCATAGACTCCGGGTCCCCCCGAACCACCCCACTCTTTCCATAGCGTTGGCCTAGTCCTCGGTGCGAAAGAAAGGAACCAGAAGTGATTGTCTGGCTATGATGGCGCTGCCGCAGTTCCTCGGTCCTGTGGTTCTTGACGTAAGGAAAATATCTTGGGGTCATGTGGCTGACCTAGATTTTATCTCTCCATCATTGGCAGAATTGCTGATTAATGCCTACAGTTCAAAATAGTCATTTTGTCTGACCAGAGTCTATGGTGGGTTCGGACCCTCTGCCCAATTTGCCTACTAGTGTATCGGTTTTTTAAATCTGAATTAATACATTGTTAATTATTCAAACTTCAACTTAATTCATACATTTCCAGAAACCCATTTATGTTGTTTATGATTAATAATCTATTATAAATTTTCAAAAGCTATTTTGAAATTCAAAACCATCCAACCAGTCTCGGCAACTGTGAATTTGACCTCATTAGTGCGGATGAATATAATTACAAAAAGGATATAATATTCTATTCAGAACTTGTTTTCTAGCAAAACTGACCACTTTTAAATAATTGTTGTTATTTATGTACTTTCTCTGTAGATATCTATCGGTTCCCAGCTATGCAAGTACCATCTCTCACTAGACTTAAAGAAATTGCCAATAATAATGGTTTAGATGTTAATGATGAAGATTTGAATCATTACAGAGGTGAGTACACTTGTGTAGTTTAATTCCGGGTTTTATCCATATGCCCACTTACACCCATACGGTAGTAAGATTAAGTACCAAAGTATCAAAATTTCACCAAAAAGTACCAAAAACCAAATTCTCCAAAATTAGAATTGCATGATAAATATTTCATTTTTGTGGTGATCGGCGTTAAAATCCACTCGAATCCACCCCAGTGAATCATATTTTTAGCTAAACTATGTTTTTTTTTAAATCATTCATTGACCAGTGCGTTGAAGTGTGCACATTGTTCATGTAGAAAAATGGTTCAACTTCTTGCTTAACAAATTTACCAAAAATGTTGTAATACAAATTTAGTAATTTGTTTATCACCAACCAGTTAGACAGTTTGTCTCCAACCAAATTTATTCATATACTTTCATGTACCAGTAGGAATCAAAGGATGATTGAAATAATAAATTTTCTGAAATTCTGATGCTCATTTCTTAATAAAAAATGTTTTTTATCAGATTTCATAGAAAATGTAGTTGGTAATGCTATGAATATCATGGACAGTTATCCTCAACCAACACTTCCTGTGAAATATCCCCGAACTCCTGGATACAGACCAACTGAAGATGAAAATCAACACAATGGATGGTAATTTTAAGTTGTGTTTTGCAAATATGTGAAACATAACTTCTAGAACAAGCTGAAAAAATAAAATGTGTAAAAATAATGTTGTTTTAACTAAAAATACTTGCTAGGAATATTAAAAGTAGATTTTCTGACATTGCCACACATTTCATTGTGAGTTTACTGCAGGCTCTTATCCCTTTGACAAAAATCCCTAAAATGTAACTTTAATATCTCCAAGGACAAACAAATCCTACTAATTTGGTGAGTGTATATTGTTTACAAGTCTAGGTTAATTTAAGAAACTTGGTGTATATGTACCTTGGGCAGACTTCTCTTAGATTTGTTCATTTCATGATCATATCTTCAATTATCTATTTTTGATGAATATTTTTGTCATTTTTGGTAAAGAGTGATATTTCTCGACTTCTTGTTGAAAACCGCAAGCCCAATTGCTTTGATATTATACATATAGATACTACATGTGGACATCTCTCAGATTTGTTCATTTTGTGATGATATATTCAATTCTCTAATTTGGATGAATATTTTTGTGAGTGATATTTTTGACTTGTTAAGGTAGAGATGCAGTTTACCTGACAGGTATGTTAATTAGTTAATTAGGAAACCAAGATGACCTTCCTTGTCCACAAAACTATATATTTTCGAAAAGCTTATTGTATGAATTTTAAAATTTTGTTTTTATGGACACTGTATTTTAAAATATGCACAAAAATGTGCTTTTTTGGTCAAAAGTGATTTAAAAAAAATAGCTTCTAAACCATGCTTCTGTTTCCTGTCAAAATTGGTTTATGGGTACATCTGTATACTATGAAGAAATGCCGTCTTGAAAACTGTCTACCAGTTGTCAATTTTGCAGGGCAGCAGCTCAAATTTCACTACTTCAAGTTTATGCATACATTAACACCAAAGCTAGTTGTCTGTATGATTGTTGTAACACTGTTCAACAAAAAACAATGCCCGAAGGCTTTTTGAAGATAAACACATTGTCAATCATTTGTGAAAATTTCAAAACAAAAGGTCAAAGCGTTTAGGAGCTATTTTTTTTTAAGTTCTAGGATGTGCACTAAAAAGAAGCTGAGATAATTGCTAATTTGCATAACAATTCACTCGGTAAGAAGTTTGCTAATGCTCATAATTAAAATGGCTGTAACATTTCAAAATTTAAATGTATTATCGTTTTGTAAAAAGTTATAATATGGTGATCCCGTCATTTCTTTTTTTCACCATGTTTCTTTTTTATTATTTATGTACAGCCTTGCTAAATCTTGCTAAGCATTCAAAAGAGAGAATGTTTGCACCTGTTATGTATATTTTAATATCGTCTTTTGAGTATGTTCCACTATTCGCAATTCTACAAAATTTTAAGTCTATAGCCAAGACTGTTTAGATAATAAAAAGCAAAAAAAAAATGTCACTCCCAAGTGCCCACGAACCTGCATCTCTACCTTAAATACTGCAAGTAGACCTCTTTCAGATTGCTTTGATACATATAGGTACCTCGGGCAGACCTCTCCCAGATTTGTTCATTTTCTAATGATATCTTCAGTTCTTTAATTGAAATGTGCATTGCTAACAACAGAGCTATCTCAGCCGAGAGGCTGCATGTTTTTAGATTCATGCTAATTTTTCTGATATTACTTTTTAACATTGTTTGTATGCACAATGTTGCCTATCTGAACACTTGGTATGAGATGCTCAAAACTGAGTAAAATGGTTGAAATATGACAATTGACGATTGTTACTTGTCCCTGTTAAGACGCAGTTCGAAAATGGGGACTTATGGTTTGACCTCTGTGTGTCTGTCTGTCTGTGCGTCTGAACCTATATCTTTGACATGCCTGGACTGATTACATTCAAACTTCACACCTACATGTACATCATACATAATATTATACAGATGCACATCAATTTGTTTCATGATCTGATTCAAGATGGCTGAACAGCAGCCATTTTTGTGCTGAAAAATCATCAAAATCAAGCATAATCAAGCATTTATGAATGAATTTTGTTAAAACTTGGGGCATACATTGGACATTATGGGACCTTGATGCACGTCATTTTATTTTTTAGATCGGATTATAAAGGTGGCCATTTTGTTTTAATGAATGTGGTATCTCTGACATGATTTGACTGATTATAACGGGGTTATAGTTTGATAACTAATGGGGACTGTGCCATGCATGGCTTGTTTATTTTTGCTTTATTTTATTTTAAGGTACTGGCGTTGTGACATAAAAGGTGCTGACACTGGTATATTAAAAGGTAAAACCATTGCTGTTAAAGACAATATTCCATTGGCAGGTGTTCCTATGATGAATGGAAGTTATGTATTAGAAGGGTATGTCCCAGACTATGATGCCACTGTTATTACAAAAGTGCTGGATGCTGGTAAGTCAGTATTGTAATTAACTCGTAATATATTATAAAACTTTAAGACATGTGTTTTATATAATTACAAACCATCTTATACTCACAAGATAAACATTATTTAAACAATAATGTACTCCCCAGTGGCTCATAATGAACGAAAGCACACTTTGAACGACATAATGTGC